ACCACAAAATCCACATAGATTCTGACACCCTGACCTCAATATCCTCAACTCCTAGAGGTATCATCTCCAGCCCTCGTAGTCATTAAGTCCACACTTTAGACCATGTTTCTACACAGAACCAGTTCACCTCTAAGATCTCAAATTCTGAGTTCTTCCTCTCTGATTACGACCTTGACACCTTCACAGTTTCTCCCTCTCCTGTCGCATTGACACCATCATCATTCTGGTCCTTGCTTGTTCTCCGAGTTCACGAGCCTCCACTTCACAGATCTCCTTTCCCCAGCCCTGACTTTCTGCCCCTCTCAAGACCACTTCAACACTCAACTCCCCCCACGTCCCCCAGTGTCCTCTACCCTGCTCTGTCTTTTGGTGCTGGTGGGAAGTCTTGGTTCCTTCATTTTCTCCAGCCCTGGTGGTCACTGCTCTTGTAAATTCCACATCGTATTCCTCATACAGCTGTTGTCAACTTGTCCCACGCTCCATGAGCCCCACTCAATCCCCCAGCCTCTCTGTCTCAAAGGGGGGCCTTTCTCTCTTCTCCGCTTCTTTATGGACGTTATCAAGTACGACATCTCCACTCGAATTTCCACAGTTCAACTTTACATGTCCAAAGCTCAGCCAGTGCTCCCTGCATCTACCCAGTTGCTCGTGCTTGATACATGGGGGTCATCCTGACTTCCCCCTCTCTTAATACCTCAGACTCAGTCAATCGCCAGAGCTTATTGATTCTCCCCCTCACATAGGTCTCAAATCCGTTCATTCTTTCCCATCTCCAGCGTTTATAATCATGCTAGTTCTGACCACCATCGTCTCTCTCCTGGACCACGGTGAGAGCCTCCTAAAAAGTCTACCTTTCTCACTCCGGTCCTCCTCCAATTGGATCATTCAGCCCACAGTGGCCAAGACAATGTTTTTAAAATGCAAACCCGATGGTGCCATCCCACTGTTTCAAACCCCTAATGACTTCCCAATAGTAAGAGGAAAAACTGCAAAATTCTTACCATAGCCTAGAAGACCCTGTTAGCTGCCTCACTCTGTAGCCTCATTTCTGGCCACCTTTGCTTCCATTCTCTACAATCCACTCTTCTCTTCTTTCAAATACCAAACTCCTCACCACCACACTGTCCCTCCACATTTCCCACACCCCTCCTCCCATCTCCACCTAAAAAATTCCTCTTATTCTTTCCATTCTCAACCTAAATGTCACTTCCTCAGGTTCCGTCCTCCTTCCCTGCCCAGTGCAGAGTTGATGGCACATAATCTTAGGGTACCCTGTACTTTTCTCTCATATGATGTATAACAAATGCAATGGCATTCTTATTTTGTGATAACCTGCTTAGTGACTGTCTTTTCCACTACTCTACAAGTTGCTCAAGAGTAGGGGCCATGTTTCATTTGCCCGTTGCTGTGTGCCCAGACATGGTACAGTGCCCAACATGAAGGCAGAGTTGGGTTCTAACCTCCAGAGAATGAGCCTCCAGATGCGTCCAGCAGCAGGGTGGGCAGATGGAAGCAGGCCTGTGGAACAGGCTTCCCTTTGATTCCATTCTCCATGAGTGTCTTAGTCCATCTTGTGCTGCTATCACAGAACACCACAGACTAGGTAATTTGCACACAGTAGAAGTTCATTTGGCTCCCGGTTTTGCAGGCTGGGAAGTCTAAGGTCAAGAGGCTGCCTCTGGCGAGAACCGTTTTGCTGCATCATCCCATGGCAGGGGCGGAAGAGCAAGAGAGTGAGCGCAGGAGACAGATGGAAGGGATGGAGCCCAGGCCTGCAACTGCTGGCCCACTCCTCCGCACAGAATTAATCCATTGTGAGGGCTCCCCTCATGACCTAAGCACCTCTTAAAGATCCCACCTCTCAACACTGTTGCACTGGGGATTAAGTTTACAACACATGAACTTTGGGGGACACATTCAAACCATAGCAATGAGCCTCTCAGTCTTGCTTCCTTGCTGTATTTTCTTACTGTCTTTTCATCTCTCTTAACCATCATCATGTACACACATTACCTTAAAGTTGTTGAAAACATGCCAGTTTAGGAGAATTTGCTCAGAGGATGCCATCAGCCTCCCTGCCCACCCCTGACCCCTCGTGCCCCCGTCAGCCACTTCCTGTGCNGTCATTCCTGCGCCTTTCCCTTTAGCTTTCAAAAGTCTTTCCAGCCCTGAGGGGGGAGGGGTATCTTCCTCTGTCCATCCTCCTTACTGTCTTCTTCCCTTCCAGGCCAAAGTTCTTGAAAGAATTGTCTCCATTTGCAGCATTCGCTTTACCCCACCCACTCACTGTCATTTAGTATTTTATTCACTCATTCTTGAATCGTTAATGTGTGTTCACAATACAGAATTCAAAACGTTCCAGTGGCACACAGTGAAACGTCTTCCTTCCACCGGTCTCCTCGAGCACCACATTCTCCTTAGAGGCAACCCTCACTACCAGCATCTTACTTATCTTTCCAGAAAGTACAGCATACATATATTCTTGTTTGTATTTTTTATACACATGGAGGCATTTATACACATTTTCTACCCTTTGCTTTGTTTCCATTTAAAATATCTTAGAGAGCGTTTTACATCAGTATATTCAAAGCTGACTCATTCTTTTAAAAGGTTGCCAAGATCCCAATATGAGAACACACCATAAATTCTCTACTCTGGACACTGAGGATATTTCTAGTCCTTTTTTCTAAAAAACATGCTGCAGGAGTATCCTTGCACATATAAGATTTTTCCACCCTTGTGAGTGCACCCATAGGCTAAATCTGAAATTGCATTTTGCATTTTGGAATTAAATTGCTCTCCATAGAAATTGTACCAACTCATTCACCCACAGCAATATATGGGAGGGCCTCATTTCCTCTCATACTCTCCGACAGATTGTTTTAACAAATGTTTTTATTTTTGCCAGTCTGATAGGTGAAAAGTATACTTTTAATTTGCATTTCTTTTTATAAATGCAGTCAAGCATTCTTCTCACATTTAAGAACCATTTGTAGTTCTTCCGTGAATTGTCTGTTCCTATCCTTTGCCCATTTTTCTATTACGTTTTTGGTCTTCCGGTTTCCCAATTAAGAAAAATAGTTCCTTGTCTGTGATATGAATTGCAAATAATTTTAGTCACTCTATAACCCTTTGTTATATGTATTTTGTGCCCAATAAAGCAAATGGAACTTCTGTCTTATTGGTTCCCATGCAAAATCTAAATAGCAAAATCCAAAGGCTTTTCTGTGTGCTTTTTTAAATCAGCATTTGACACCGCTTACCTGTCCTTCTTGAACACTCCCTTTGTAATGATGTATTTCGAGTGCTACTTTGTCTTGGATCATCTCCCACTTCTCTGACTGTTACAAATTCCTTCACTGAAATTACTATGACAAATGCCCTTGGGAAGGGAGGTCTTTGAAGTCTGCCTCAGCAGTGCCCCAGGGAGAGCCCTGGCTGGCTCTTGCTAGAGGTTTTCCCAGAACCTTAAGTCTAGTGGGATGTGCAGACAAGTACTGCCGTGTCTGTCTGTTTTTTGGTTTTGGTGGCTGGCCCGCACAGGGATCGAAGGTACATGTACTATCCGGACCTTGGTGTCATCAGCATCATGTTCTAACCAACTGAGCTAACTGGCCAGTCTCTACGTGCTGCCACCTCTAAATCCGCAGCAGGCCCAGGACATTTCCCCTGCTCTTCTTTTTTCTAGCCCCCAAATCAAGTTCCACACATCTAAAAACCACTGCTCCCAACTTCCTCACCTCCACTGGCCACTCTCCCAATCCTGCTAGGCCTGAAAGTTCAGCTTCCTCCAGCCAAGTCCTCCCTATTCTTCAGTGAATGTCTCTTCCACTTCTCCCGTCTTCCCAGGCCCATGTCATCATGCTTGCCAGCACATCCCAGATCTCCTCAGCATCCCCTCCTAAAGGTGTCTTCGATGATTCTCCTACACTCTCTCCTGCTGCAGTCCTGCGCATCCGATCTCCCTCTGCTCAGGAACCCTGAGCCCCTCCTGTGCCCCAGCTGCCCTCACTTCCTCCTCAGCAGAGGGCTCTGCACAAAGGCTAGACCCAAATACGAATTAAGGAAGACTGGATCCAAACGAGGTACCACTTCATTACAAATGAAAAAACCCTCCCCTGTTACACTTTTAAAATGTACATATATTTAGTTGTTCCTTTGGCCCCAGTGTTGTGTGTGTGTGTGTGTGTGTGTGCACATGCGCCTTGCCATTGCATTTGTTTGTTTGCTCTTTGATTATGGTGTCCCCATGTCCTTCCCTCCAGCCCCACTCTGCTTAGTTTTCACTTGTGCTGCAGTTGTACCCACCCCCTAGAGAAACCGGTGGCAAGGGGCCATCTCCAAGACCCTGCTCCATGCTCTAGTCCCAGGGACCATTCAGGAATGTGTCTCCAGTGTAAAGGTGGCCTAACCCTGGCATAAGGGGCCATCTCCAAGACCCTGCTCCATGCTCTAGTCCCAGGGACCATTCAGGAATGTGTCGCCAGTGTAAAGGTGGCCTAACCCTGGCATTCTTAAGCCAGTGTTTCCTATCAACCTGCACAACCCTGCTCTCCTCTCAGTCCAGTTCCACCAGCCCCCTCCCTCCAACATATACAAAGACCCTGCAGGAAATGGCCTCCAGCCAAGTGTCGCAGTGGAGCCCTTTGACATTCTGAGAGATCCTTAGAATGGCTAGTTGCCCTGGCAATTTAGCATTTCTTGGGGTCCCAGTACTCAGCCTCCCTGCTCTGAGGGACACACCCACACTTACACACTCAGATTGACCAGGATGCCGTTTGGGGCCAGCAGACAGGACAGAGTGAGAAGAGGGGGTACCGCGAATGCAGGACGAGCTTACACTGCTGCCTGGGGCGGGACACAGAAGGGAGGAGAGATGTGAGGCTATGGAAGGGGTGGGGACCGCTGGGCTGGCCCAGGCGGGACGGTGCACAGTGTGCACGCGGCGTTGCGAGGTCCCGCACGTCGCAGCACAGGATCAGAGCCCAGTGAGCTCGCGGAGTCCCCGAGTGTCTCGCTTCTCCCGCCGCAGCTATGACAGAGAACTCGGACAAAGTTCCTGTCGCCCTGGTGGGGCCGGACGACGTCGAGTTTTGCAGTCCCCCAGTGAGTATTGCTCGGGATCCTGTCCCGCTGCCGGGTTAGTCCACACTCGGGGCCCGGGCTGCGCGTGGGTGTCCAGTCCCACTGTGCGGTGTCAGCGAATTGTGACACCGAATGTTTGGGGGGGGTGTGAATTTGGGTACCCAAATGTGCGTGTGGGGTGGCGCCCCACGCCTGTGGGTATGCAGGGGGCACAGGATCCACAGACGGGCATGGAGGAGGCATCCTGTGGCCGGCGGGGATGCAAACCCGCGGGGCGATGGCCGTGCACCGCGGAAAGTTTGCTTATGGCACTTCACGCCGGAGTACAAGAGACCCTCAGGAGGGAGCGCGGGGAAAGGAAGCATCCGAAGGAGGCCGGGGCGAGCTGCTTCCTTCCCACCCACCCCCATTCCCTGGGGTCGTGTGTGGTCCGGTGGACGCGTGGGCCGCGGGGTGCGGGCGGCGCGGAAGTGACCGGTCCCCTCCCGCCCCGGCCCGTAGGCATACGCCACGGTGACGCTGAAGCCCTCCAGCCCCGCGCGGCTGCTCAAGGTCGGAGCCGTGGTTCTTATCTCGGGGGCGGTGCTGCTGCTCTTCGGGGCCATCGGGGCCTTCTACTTCTGGAAGGGGAGCGACAATCACGTAAGTCCAGAGTGCGGCGCGGACCCGAGTAGGGGTGCGCAGGGCCGGGAGGTGCGCGGGACCCGGAGGCGCGCGGGCTCCGGGGTCTTCTGTGTCACCCCCGAGTTCGCCTCTAGGTGGAGCTGCAGCGCTGCGCCGGCAGCCCTCAGAGGCCGCCTGTCTCTAGGTCCTCTGGGCATCTCCGTTCTTCCGTCCTACCCTGCTACGCTGCTCGTCTATCGTAGGAAACTCTGTAGAAAAGCGAGTCAGGGTTTAAGGGAGAATATTAAAACGCAGTGTCGCGGAGAATGCCCCGGACGGTTCGAGGAAAGCCGATCTAGGCCTGGTGCCTCCACTAGCCAGTTGTGTGACCATGGGTGGGGCACGTTACCTCTCTGGCCCCGGTAAGCAATGGAACTGAAGGATCTCTACAGCCTCTCCCAGCTGCGGAAGGCTGTGAATTTAAGATCAAGTACAAAGATAGTGGAGGAATATTCAGACCCACAACTGGGATGAACTGTGGCCTTTAAGGAGGTTTTTTTGTGACTTAGCCATAAACACTCCCGTCTGTCTCTTAACGAAAACAAAAACTCTAACTTCCTTGACTGTGATAGATCCCTTTAAAAATCAATTCTGGCCTAGCCACGTGTGATTTAATGGTAATCGTTTCACTAAATGCTGTCCTACTTTCTTTGTACGCAACTATTTACTTTAAAGCTCCATGGGCTCTCAAGGAGTATAAAAACTGCTTCTAACTTGACTGGGCAGAATTCCAATGTGTTCTCTAAATACTCTGAATGTGTTCACCTGTGTAAAAGGAGGCATTTTTATCTTGATGACCATTGCCAGGTCTGGTATAAACTTATTTCGACTAATGGAAAAGAACGCCATCTCCAGGGTGCACACAAAGGGCCCTTTCTTAATCACTGTCCTCAGAGGATCCGTCACTGCTGTTTTTTCCCCTCTCTTCCACTATGAAATTCAAAGCATGAACGAATTCCAGTACTTAGAGAAAATGGTACTGAAAGCAATTCAACCATTTTACACATCACATCTTCTGCAGTCACTGCATAATTTGTATTTTTAACTCAGTGCCTAATGTAGATAAGCATGCCATTGAGCACTGAGTCTGTTTTAGAGACTATATCAAATTTACAAGCGTCAATTTGTAAGATTAGAATTGCACTGTATTTTGTGTGTATTTGAAAAGTGCCTTAATGTACTTATATTTTAAATATAGAAGCTGGGCCAGATGCTCATATTTGAAAGCTGCAAATCTGAACATGAGAACGATTTCAATATCTACATCTCCATTAATAGCAGGGTGGAGACTGTCATTCCTTTGGGAAATTTTATGGCATTAGAATGTAAATGCTATCTTTTAGATAAAACCTCAATGTATAGGTAATTTGGTGACAAAACCAGCTTTGCTTTTTTTTGTTTTGGTAAAGATTTTGGTCATGATGAATATTAAAATATATATAACGGGCTCTGGGCTCCTCTATATACCGATTGTCATTCATTTAAGGCAAACATGGCTAACAGACAAGCTTCTAAAAAGAGCTTGAATGATCATACTGAATAAGCTGGGCTCCCTTTTTTGGTATCTTTTACTTTACTGCAAGACGATTGGTTGTCTGGGTCAAGAGAGCAGTATTAAATTCTAAGAATACAGAGGAATAGTGGATTACATTTTATTGCCAACAATCAAAGTTATTGCTATTTCCTATACAGACAGAAGAATAAAGAAAATCATGGTCTTTTTTTTTTTTCTCCCAAAATGACCAATGCATATTACTTAAGTCTGAAAAACAAACCACAAAATACTAAAGAGAGTAAATTTGGCACCATCTGTGCATAGTGCATGTCCAGGTCTGCTTTCTCTGAATACAAATCTAAATAGCCCAAACAAAACGAAATCAAAAAAGGAAAGTCTCTGTCAAACAGAAAGACATATCAAACCAAATGGATTATTCACTCTTTGGGGATTATCTGTGCCTGGGCTCCTCTATATTGGTTTATAGAGAAGAACCAGCTGTAATTCACCTCTTCCCTTTTATATGGGTAAATCCCCTTAGGACAGGTTTACTTAAATTTGGTTGGAGAGCTATGAAGCATCAGAGTACTAATAATCAGGAGACAACTTACTGGGCTCAAATATTGACGCCATTTTTCATCTACATTACTGTAAAGGGAAAGGCATTGAAATAGGGTAAATTCCCACCTGTGTGGGATAACTGACAACCCCACCCCGTGCGATGAGGGTAGGAGATCATTGCTGGCGGCCTTTCTTCTCAGACTAATTTTTCTAGACATTTTCCCAAACATTATTAATTAATCTTATAGAACCTAGGCCTTATTAAAAACTCATTAGCAAATGTCCTTGACTGTAAAAGGTACCATACTGAGCAAAAGTTTGGCAAATAATAAATTGCATTGCATTGGATAGAAATAGCCTTAGGCACCAACAGCTCCATGAGCTTAGAGTAGATAATATAATTGCTGCCCAGCATCCTCCCCAGCTTGGAGCCCAATACTCTGGAAACTGCAGACTGCCTCCTGTCACCCCCCATCGCTTCAGGAGGGCATAGGCTTCTCACTGCTGCCCCTATGCAGAGGCTGCTTTTACAAAGGATGCACTGCCTAGTCAGGAAGCCTTTGTTGGGGAAACGAGGGGTGGTGGTGGAGGAAAGTGAAATTAGGACCACAGGCCACTCTTCTAGTGTTACAATCATGTCTCCTTAAGAACTGCTAAGAATTTGGAAATGGGTAAGTTCTTAAATATTGCATTGCTTTACTAGCAAAAGCTTATGTGCAATGCTTTAAAAAAAAAAAAAAAGAGCCTCTTGTCACATGCATGGAGGATGCTCATGCCAGGAGGAACTCCCACGGGTGCTCTCTGCCAGTCTCCTTTTGACAGTCATCATACTCCAGGTGAACAGTGGCTGCTCAAAGAGCACCCAAACACAACAGAGCCACTTTCTCATCCTTACCTGCAGAAAGCACTGGCTCTGCCAAAGAAAATAGTTTTCCCAAACTTGGCTGATCATAAGGACCACCTGAGAGGCAAAGCAAAAACAAGATTGCGAGGCTCCAGCTGTACTAAATCAGAACCTCTAGAAATGGTTCTCATGATCAGGCAAGCTTGGGAGACAGTAAACAGCAGGCATCTAAGTTCCTCAGAAGGAGGGGGAGGGGTGATGAGAGATGGTTGAGCTGAAATAGAATGCCAATATTTTCTGTCCTGCTGTTGCCTCAGAGGGTACTGGATAGCAAAACCATTTCTACATCTCTGCTGATAAAATAAAATAGTGCTCTGTGGGTCATGTAATAATGAGTTTTCTACAAGTAATGATCCAGTAACAACAGATGCTTTTCCAGTGTTTTGTCCATGTAGTCACTCTTCATCATGAGGGAGAAAAATCAGACTTGAATTGAATCTGAGCTATTTGCAGCTCTGACTGGCTGACCTCACATTAAATAACAAGTGTCTTTCAGCGATTCTCATTCCTTCCCCTTTAAAGTTTTATATGTGTGTGTGTGCATATGTATAGATACACATTTATAATGTAATATATAAGGTATATTATATGTTATATATAAGGTATATATATATATCATGTGAAAGAAAGTGAGCCGAGATGCCGGGTACCTTTCATGCTTTATTAAAGAAAGAAATCTGCTGGGCTGTGCTCAGAGTGGAGGACAGCCCGGGGCTACCCTGAAAATGGGGGACAGCACCAGGTGTGGGGGTGGTAGAGCTTATATCGGTATGTTGGCGCCAAGAGCTGGGTGATGTAATTCCGGGGTGGGGATTGAGTTAGGTCATGGAATGGAGAGTTCTGCTGTGCATGCGGAAACGTCGAAAGCTTCATTTTCTCCGAAACCATGAGGCTTCTTGTAAAAGAGACCGGGGGAGGGGAGGGGAGGGGAGGGGAGGAGGTGGACGGTGCCGTTTTGTTCTTGGGCTTGTCTAAAATGGTGCTGGTTATGTTGCATATCTATTAATATGTAACATATGTAGATACAGATATAGATATGCCTTTAAGTCTGAAAAAGAAAAAAAGAAAAGAAACCCACCCCCCAGCACCACCACACACAGGAAGGTCTCGCAGGGCAGCAGCACACTGAGCAGCAGCAGCACGTGAATTATCTTTAAAATAGTGTAGGAATAAAATGTCTAAGCTAAGAGAGCCCTTTGTATCATCTCATTAGTGGAAAACTTTTTAAAAAATTTTTTTAAGTGGTGGAAATTTTCTTGCTAACAAAATGTTACTCAGAAATGGAACACACAAAACAGATCAAAGCAGAGCCACTCAAGTTATATTACGGTGGACAGGGGAGAAAGGGGCCTCAGTCTCACCTGCTCTACCACCCTCACTCTGGGCCATGCCTGTGAAACCTCGGAGCTCTAACGACATTGATGAAAACTAGCAACTTCTTCATTCTGCACTCAAGGAAACTCCCAAGGCCCAGGAATAAGTGGCATGGCCACCTGTTTCTCTGATCCTGGACCAGTGCTGTTCTGCAATGCCAAGTCCCTCTGCTCTCCAGACACCCCACACATTTCATTACAACAAAATGCCCTCCAACACCATATGGCTGTCCATATAGTCATTAAGTGAATAACTGCTATTTTGAACTGAAACAGATGTGCACATTGACCTTGCTCTCTACAAATGCTTTTCTCTGTCAAGTATATCCTAGTCCTGTATGCAGTCCTTACTATATACCATACTCCACGCTTAATCTGGACCAAAAAAAAAAAAAAAAACCTTTTCAAATAGAGGTTCCACTGCAGACTTGTTACACTCGGAGCCCAGTTAACCCCCTGCCTCCTCAATTTCCATTTATCTGTCAATGGTTCTCAGCCCATCCACATAAACAGAATTGAGCTCTAGGGGCTGGCTGGTTAGCTTAGTTGGTTAGATCACCACCTTGTAACACGAAGCCAAGACAAAAAAAAAAAGAATTGAGCTTTAGGAAATTAACGACCTGTGACCAAGCCCCATCCCACAGGTTCTGATTTGATTGGTCCAGGGTGGAATCGAGGCATGGTACCTGGAGAGTCTACCCAGATGCTTCCAATGTGCAGCCAGGTTTGCAAATCACTAAGCTATTTGAATAAGTATCAGAGACTATCAAAGATTTTACTTTTAAAGTATTTTTAAAGAAATCATTGTTTTAAGTGATTGGTGTATGGATGAACTCCTCATATATAAATGTATTGCTATTAAGGATGATTTTGTGTATGTTTGAAAAATATGAAAGCTACCTCATACACTGCAGTTTAAAGTTAAGCCCTGAACTGCTGGTAAAAGAAAGCATCACTAACTCATGTTCACTTCCAGATTTACAATGTCCATTACACCATGAGTATCAATGGGAAATTACAAGATGGGTCAATGGAAATAGATGCTGGGAACAACTTGGAGACCTTTAAAATGGGAAGTGGAGCTGAAGAAGCAATTGAAGTTAATGATTTCCAGAATGTAAGTATATTTCATGCATTTAGAGAGTTTAACCAGGCAAGCCTGGGGGACTTACCTAATTCAAGGAGAAGCAGCATTTCTCACACACATGCAAATGGTAACTGTTCTTTATAGCAGTCCCAGTGCCACTAATCCACATGTGTCATGTAGCATATTCTCTCTGAGAAAGGACTACACTTTGTCCTTCATATTTTCAAAAGGTAAAAACACCTCAGTAGTAAAAACAAAAATCAAAACAACAAAAACCATTCACCTTTACTGAATGCATGCACTTAAGGAAATAATTATTTTGAAAAAAAATGTCTTTTACTTCTAAGAAATAAAAGATTTAGGCATAGAAATAAAAAGAAAGCTTGTTTTTTTTTAATTAAAAAAAATACTACAGGACTTGAAAGAGCTATTTCTTTCCAAGCAGTCTTCTGTAACGCAGTGAATAAAATGCTCAAACTATCCTAGAATAGGTCTGAAATTTTAACTTCTAAAGAGAAGTGAAATTTTAATGACCTAATAATAATCTCATCAACAACTCAGATCTATTTACATACTTTTCTCGATTCTTCTGATTTCCCATTTAATCCAGGAAAATTAGAATGGGCAAATTCCCCTGTGACAGCATATGTTTCCTGACCATGGCCTATTGCAGATAAAACATTCGAGTCTCCTTTGAAAAGACTGTTTTGTTTTGTTTTCACAAAAATTTAACTTACTGGCAATTTGAGACATTAAGCTATGCAGCAGTGCTTCAGTGTACATCTGCCAACCAAAGTGTCATTCCAGGGCTAATTTCCTGATAGCCAACATCAGTATCTTATTCTATTTCATGTTCTATGATGAGAAAGCAGCATCACTATTTGTGTTCTCTTGATAAATCTGCAGATGGAGTAGGTGAAACTTAATAATGAAAAAAAGGCTCTTGAAATAATGTCTCTTCTGATAGTTTATTGGTCCACAAACATCTCATCAACCCATCTTCCTCTGGTGATGAGAAAAACTAAAGTTACTTTCTGTTTGAATGAGAGCACTCCTCTTGTCAGTACCAAAACACATTTCACATGTCCTGTTGAATACCTAGCAGATGCTTACATTAGAGCCCCTGTGATGTCAGACATTATTTGATGGTGACAAAGACTGACTGTGTTCAAGAGTGGTTACTGCTCTGGGTACAGACTCTGCAGCTCTGTATGTGCCCAGCTGCAATTTGTTTAGTCATCGCTTTGCAAATGGTTCTGGTCAGTGGACAAGCATAACTTCTTTGGACCTATCAAATGTGCTTTTACTGCAAGACCCAAGATGGGGTAAAAGCATTTTTTCTTTGTACTACTCAACATAAACTTATAAAATGTGACTCCCCCACACACATCGTTTAATCCAGAACAAAATTGAATACCTATGATGTGCCACAATATCAAGATATGCAAAGGGAGCCACAAAGAATAAGAAAGAAAAGACCTGTCTTTCTCAAGATGTTCATATATCAAGAATATCCTTTTAAAATATTGTAATCCTAAACCTATATTTCTATTTTATAATCCTTTGGTTCTTTCTAATAATAGTATCGATTGTGTTTTGTTCTCATAGACCAACACGGCCACAAATATTTTATAAACTGATCAATTCTCTTTGATAGCTTCCACATTTCTGTAAGTCAGAACTGTGAGTAGAGCATTTTTTTGATGTATAAAACCTGTTATGGGTTTAAATAAGCCTGGACTTTTGAAAAGACATGAATCAGCCACTATGGTATCTGCGCTGTTACTTTCTCCCGTGTTTTTTAAACCATCGGTCAAATGCAAGAAGTGCTTATTGAAGCCTACTGTGTGCAAGGTATGGTGCTGAGCATGGGGAATGCAAAGGTGACTGACACTTGTTCCTTCCCTCAATGATCTTCCAGTCCAGTCCACGAGGCAGACACACACACACACACACACACACACACACACACACACACAAATAGCTTCAGGGCAGCCCAGAAATGGCTGCAAGGAGCTATGAACAGAGTGCATGGAGCAGAGAGAAGGGGCATCTGCCAATTAAGGGGCTGGAGCAGGTTTTACAGAGGTGGTGACAACTAAGTCAGGTCCTGAAGAAGGATTAGGATTTCAACCAGCAGAGAGGTAGGAGCAGGGCTTTCCACACCCAAGAAAGAATAATGAACATGAATGCATAGGCCTGGCTGGAGTTCTAAGTAGCCCAGTGTGGCTGAATGTGGGGAAGGGGAGAAGACAACATAGGTGGGGCCAGATTACAAAAGGTTCTGACTTGTAAATAAAGTCTCCCACTCACCCAGGACCCCACCAAGATTCTAGTAGAGCCCAATGGATAAAAAGAACCCCCCGAGGGAGAACAGCACTGAAAAAAGTGCACCAGGCTCTACACCTGAGAGAGATGAAAACTGAGTTACTTCATAGTGTATGGGTTGCTTCTAGGTTATACCCTCACAATAAGGCAACCCCCTCAGACCTAATGTCCCATTTACATAACAAAAATCCTGACTGGAAATTAAAAGAATAAACTGGTGCATATATGGGTATTCACTGTACAATTCTTTTTTTTTTTTTTTTTTTTTTGTCCTTTTTGAGACCGGCCACACTGCGCTCAGCCAGTGAGCACATGGGCCATCCCTATATAGGATCCGAACCCGCGGTGGGAGCACCGCTGCGCTCCCAGCGCTGCACTCTCCCGAGTGCGCCACGGGCTCGGCCCACTGTACAATTCTTTTGACTTTGTGAATATTTGAAAATTTTTATTTAAATAGCTGGGGGGGAGAGTATAGCATAACCTACCGCAGTAGGTAGGTAGGTTACTGATTTCAAAAATCAATACAGCTCCCAACTATAATAGAAAGGAATAATAAAATCAAAGTAATTTATAGTAAAATATGGACTTTTTATATGTAAATGCTCTGCCTGATGCACTAGAAGACACAATAAAGTCACACTCTTGCACCTATAGTTGAATGACTGTCAGTGCCTGTGGTGCTAGGGGCTAGGCTAATGTCTGGAATCCTGTCGACATAGCCAATTGCAGCACTCCTAATCCTGTTTGTGATGCCAACTGTCTAGCTCCATGACCACGCCAGTTGTCAGGCTCTTTTACCTGCCAGTAATCCTGCCGACTGGGCTGATGGTTGAGCTAGGGCTGGGTCTGGAGCTCCCAGATCCCTCAAGCCCATTCACAGACTGGGTCACAAACCCTTCATATGCCAGGCTGGGTCACCAGACCCCTTCACGCAGGTCTATGAGCTAGATAACCAGCCAAAAGATCCTTGGAGGCCGTAGGTTGGAAAGCATGGCTGCACCGGTCCCTAAAACTCCTCTCTCTCTCTGAAGAACACAAGAATAGCAACAAAACTAAAAAGACACATTGGCGCACATGCACACTAACTCCACACACACACACACACAAAAAAAAAATTTGCTTACAAAGGATGTGCTAAAACCACACCCAACTGGACCCAAGGCAAGGGCCCTGACCAAACTATTCTATTTCCCAACAGTGCCACAGCCTAAAATGCAGACAAACACAAATGTGTGTTGGCAAATTAAATGTCATATAATTTTCTTGGTGGACAAAAGTACCATTTTCTCTCCATTTTCACAGCAATAGCATGTCTAGGAAATTTGTTGTACATTAAAACTATGCCAAAAATCTCTTTATGTTTATATGTAAAACAGTGTTAGGCTCTAGGCACAGATAGGTACAAACAGGTTTCTTCCCGGACCCAGGACAGTTAGCTCTTCCAGACTGCCCCAGGCTCTGTGGGACCTGCATCCCTGGGCCCTGCCCAATAAAGGCCAGTAGTGCCCCCAATCTTCATGACACAAAAAACTCCAAAGATTTCTAAAGTGCCCTGTTGGGGGCAGGACTCCCGCCCTCCTTGGGAACCTCTGGCTTAAGCTGTAGAAATAGAGGAGGTCCTCTAGAAAGAGAAAATGTGCAGCTAAAGTGATATTACCTAACTCTTGATAAAAAAATGTTTGATCATTAGAACCTTCGCTCATCGCTTTTGCTAGTAAATTTCTTCATTATCACCAGTTTCTAAGGCCTTGTTTGTTTGCAGAAACAGGAGGTTTGCTTGGCTTTCTTGTGCTTCTTTTAATTCCTGTTTAATCTCTTAATATATCTGGCTGCTTGATGTGGATTTGTAGCTAGACATGGTGGTTAATACGTGTGAATTCCTTCCCACAGGTCCCGTCCCTATGGCATTTCAGTTCTCTGCAATGTGTAGGCTGTCAGAACTAACTCCATACTAGATTCACATTCAGTGCTGTGAATCCTTCAGTAGAATCAGCTCTCTCCTTTGGGGGGTTGGTAATGGTTGCATGGTGTTTCCTCCCACGCATCTCACATTCAGAGGATAAGAGTGTTTGAAGTTAAGAGAACATATCACATAGAGAGGCAGTCATCTCTCTCCCCTGCCTTCTGTTTT